ACATTGCGCCACGCTCCTTCCTGGTCAAACCTGTTGAATTTTTGAACTCTGAGCTTTTTTAGAGGGGGGGGGGGGGGCTTGTGGATGTTGTGTTGATGGGTTAACAAAACACGATCAATGCGGAAGATTTGATCAGAAGAACAAATCCAACGTTGTAAACAAAAGATAAACATAGTCATATAAACACTTACCGCTAAGGTGGAAGTTTGTATCAAACTTCTAGTTTATGTGCCCTAAACGTTTACAACAACAAGAATTTAAACTGTATCATTCGTATTTTCATTAGAACCTTACCACCATTTACTTGGCCCGGTAACATCGCTAAATATTCATATGTGTGTGAATAATTAAAAATTAATTATAGATTATTAATCTGAATAGAATCGTTCAATGAAAGCAAAGAGCAGAAGCCTTGAGAAAGCTCAGCAACATCTCTTAATATATAATTTGGATAAATGTTGCTCTAAGTATCTGAAACCGCATCACAAAGTACCTACTAACTTCAAGCAATTTTATCGTAGAGTGATAGGAACGAAACAAATTGGGTAATCTGTTTCTTCTTCTTTTATTTATCGTTACCGATGTTCTGATACCTCTTCTGGCAGGTAATTTATGTTGTCACAAAATGTGGAATCACATGTTACCCGGCAATTCCAAGCCCATAGGAAGCGAGTATGTATGCACTATTTGTTAGAGCGAAGCAAGCTGTACATACAAGATGGCTTGCAAATATCCAAGTAAACAATACCCCATTCGGAAGCCCTTGAAATCGTCCTTTCACTAAAGTAGATAACTTTATATTGGTCCATCATCATATTCCAAGCTGGAATAAAACCTTTTGCGTAACTTGACTAAATTCTCATCAAATCGGAATTCTAAGTTCGTGGGTCTATTTTTTTCAAAGCAAAAGAAAGTTTGCTTTGCACGAAAAAGTTTTGACATCCATTTGTCATTTCAGGGGGACAAAGTTTCCAAAATCTGCACTTCAAATTCGTACATTTCGTTTCAGAAAATACGTCAGTGCCACGTTTATTTATAGCAGTCCATAAATTATAGCGAACTTTAATCTCTCATGGAAATGCAAAAAAGTCTGCGAAAAATGATACTCTCGAAAATTCCTTTATGATGAGACCAATGCGTCATCTGCTTTGCAGAGGCTCACTGTTTCCGCTATCCATCTTCCTCATTCACGTATGATGACGGCTTTAAAATTTACCGCACAGTGCTGATCATCACAAATGAGTTGTGACAACTGCTCATTTCAAAAGCATTCTGTAGATTGGAAACTTTTAGAAGAAGAAACCTTTTTGCAGAGGAACAAATGCAAATTAAATTGAGTTGCTGAATTTATTATGGCTTGATGGACGACGTAAGGACAACGACCAGTGCGAGCTACGTTTCCAAACAAGAATTTTCTTTAATTTTCAGGCAAACCTTGGCAAATCCATCTACGGAATCAATCCTTTTTGGCGTCGTTTTCTCAAAAAACTTATTTTTGAATCGTCTTTTTTGAACCACAGGTCTCCAGGCCACAGACTTGCTACACTAAGAAAGATTGATTTTTACCCATTTTCAGCCAAAAGCCATGTGTGTGACATGTGAATTTTTGAAAGATCCACACACTGGACACTCGCCTCTGCGCAAGCTGAACTGCCAACGTCGTATATTATACAAAAAAATTGACCTGAAAGCTTGGGTGCAACTTGCTCTACGAATTTCGTAGAAGACAGATTTTAGACAGACACACAAAAAAAACAGACGGATTTAGCTAGTTATTATAATAGGATTGCCACTTTTATGCCGGGCCCCGATTGCGAATTTTCGGAGATACAACTGTATTGCCTCCTTTAGTACATAGTACTGTGTTTTACTGAATGAAATACTTTGAGTGTTGCTCAGTTGTAGTATTAGTAGTAGTCGTAAATGTTAATGATGCTCAGGCTCGTTTCAAGATCAAGTTATGCCACCAAATTTGAAAAAGGGGAAAAATATTTATTCGAATTTATGCTAGCTCCCTCAGAGCTTCGAATCCATTCATGTCTTGGTTGAAAATGCTACACAACACGAGACAAAGTGAACATGGATTTGACACTTAAAATTGTGGGCGGTAATAATGTTCAAAACCCTGAAAATTTTTGCACTTGTGCAATTATCGCATAGGAACTATTTGGCAATAATTCTGAGAGATCAGTTTTCTAATACAGCAAGTCAAACAAGACTATTTGGATTTTTGATTGGTGGCTTTGTTGAATAATAACAGGACAACAGCTATTGCTATCAACAAAAACAGTATAACGGAGATAAAAGTGTAAGCTATACAACGAGCATCACAACCTGGTGGCTCCCACCGCTGATGTTGTACAGAATTCTGTGGCAATGGGACGTGTTCAAAGTGGGTATCCAACGATAATCGTGATAGGAGACCAGGCATGCAGTCTATGCTGATGTCTGTATAATCACGACAATCCCAGCATCGTCTTTGCGGTTCGGCAGCGCATTTGGCGATCCTAGAATTATTATATTTTGGGTTGAATACTGGTGTCTTGCACCAAAAATTATGAAAAATCGAAAAAGGTGTAAGGAAGGATTGTTTAAAACAACCTTGCAATCAACAAGAATTAGAAAAAGCAGATCATAAAACTAGAAACACGAGCAGAAAACACAATCGGATTTTATGGCTGGAACTTTCAGAATAATTAGCTAGTAAAATCCAAAAACCACAGTGTCTCCCCAAACCAGGTGTCACTGCAATCTCATGAATTCGCGCGGGGACTCGCTAGCATGCAAAATCGTGCTGGATACGGTTTGGGCTAGGATTTGGAGAGCTAAAAGGATCTCTTTGGCGTAAAGGGTTTACCCGTGTTGATGCTTGAACAGTGCATAAGGTCCATTAATTTCTTCCATTAAATTCCACGCAAAATATCCATGTACCTATCCATGTACATAGATTTGCTTGAACACTGCTTTTGAGTGCATGAATTAGCATGCATAAATCTCTTGGTTAATGGTACTATTGCACATTTTAGCAACCAAAAAAAGACATGGCCGGTGTTTAACAGTGTCCCATAGCGAGAGATTTGATCCAGAGGGAGATTTTCGGTAGTAAGTATTCAACACTGGTGTTGCGATACCTCCATGATATACGGAAGCAATACATAGAAGTTTTGAACCTATTTTCTTTCTATACCTGCACGATGCTAGAAAGCGTGTTATATTGATAGTGGGTAATCACATTTAAGCTATAGCTTAAAAATTATTTGATAATTTTGTTACATTCATTTTACTGTGAATAATTGTACGAGTCTTGGATAATATTTGCAGATGAAGAAGAATAATTTCTAACTATCATTTTGAGGCGCAATCTGGTATGGAATTAATTGGCCACGGCATATTCTTCCTTCCCAGACTGACTGGCTTTGCTCTGAAAGCGGATTGAGTGCGAGAAATATCGCTTCAACTAAGTATCACATGGCGCTGCTTGGTTGCCTTTGGTTAGAAACTCAAATCGATTGAGAAATAAAAAACATTGTGCTGCGTTAACATCCTGGATAGACCATTTTATTGGTTTGGTTCGGCAATGCTCACACTTTCATTGTCCGTCATTCAGTTTGGCTCTTTTGTGAGGCTATGAAAATCCTGTATATCAAATGCATTTCATGTATGCAGTCAAGTGCAAGTCCCACTTTTTCGAAATTTGTTCCGTTGTAATTTCCATCACACTTTTTCAGATCTCTTTTTGGAGCATATTGTGGATTAATCATCTGAGATTGTTCTAGTTTAGACCTGAGACGACGTGACTAGCCTTGGAAGTCTTTTTCGTGGCCAATGTTCCCCTTCTCCAACCAGTATTGGAGGATTGCAGGAGGATATGGGGTATGTCTGAATGTTAAGCAGTCACATTTTTAGCGTACACAGATCTACATTTGAGCTTGACACTGTCATAAGAATATTTTTCCGCATTAAAAGCGGAAATATCATAATTACATCATGAAAAATCATATAATTGTGATACAATTCCATATCCCTGCAGAAGAAGTAGTGATTAACCCGTCATCTATAGAAACACTCGTTCAAGAATGTGTCGCACAATTTTCAAATGTAGCCTACTTAATTTATAGGATTCTGTAGGTAATTTTGTAAATAATCAAATTGATTCTCAGGACTTTTTTATATTTTGATTTATTTTGTAAGAAAAAATTTTCGCAGGCTGCCGCATTTCTGAGTTACGGTTTTAGATCGGAAAAAATCTTGCAAAGCAAAAATTGGTTGGTTTATACTTGTATTTACATTTTTGAATATTCTGTGCACAACCGCTCATTGCTATTGCTATCAATACTGCTAATAGCTTTGAATCATTCACAGCCTTGTACTGCAGAGAATGTGTCTACGTAAGCTTCCTTTGACATTAAAGGCAGCGTCCAGGCAGATCTGGACTTATGGGGCTTTTACGTGGAAAGTACTTTTGGGGCCCTAACTAAGGCACCTCCCAAGCGGCAGCTCATGTAGTGCTCTAATGGCTGAGATATTCCCCTCGAAACTGGCCCCCGCGAACGTATTCGCATGGATTCATGGCAGTTTCGCGCCAGGATCCACGCTGTGCGCCATGGATCCATGCGAAACACGGTCGCGGGGTCCAGTTTTGAGGGGATTATCTCAGCCGTTAGGGCACTACCTGAGCTGCCGGTTGGGCATTGGCTTAGTTAGGGCCCCAAAAGTGCTTTCCACGTAAAATCCCCATAGGTCCAGACTTGCCTGGACGCTGCCTTTAAAAAGCTACAGGTTGTAACCTGCAACAATACCTCCCTGAATCATTTCCTCTTAAAAACATTTTTGCGTATGCTCTGCTAAATTCTCGATATTTTGAAATTTGCGTCATTTCATTTTTGGCATTTTGAGCTTGAACTATTTGCGCTATGAAACCGTATTCATGAAACGTTCTCCTGTGTGCTTCATCATGCTTTAGCAGCACGAAAAGCAAAACATCAAACAAAAGCGATGGCTCACCATTGAAGTGTTTTCTGTGAACCGTCTCGCAACAAAAGCAGTGTATAGTTATTGGATGAAGCAGCAGTTCCAGGAAAGTATGAGGCGTAGGCTGAAACCAATAAGATGACAATTTGAATGACTAAAGATTCTCGGAAAGTTACCATTTCTCTTAGCAGAAATCGTGTATTCTCGGCCAATCGTCATGATTGATGATGTGCTCTTGTTCAATGCATCGTCGAGGCTTTTCGACAGAATTTCAAGATCATCCGTCAACCAAAGAATAGACTCGTAACGGCTGAGGGCATCCTAGAATAAAAGAAAAATTTGTTAATGTTATGAATTTTGGTCTGTATTTTCAAATGCCAGAGATTTCTATCAAAATGGCAGAACGATGCTGACATGACTGCGCTCATATTCCTGTCTCATTTCCTCCAAGTATCCATTTGCTGAGCGTAAGTTCACCCACAGGGGATCTTTACAACTGACAAGAATGCCAAGATACAGAAACGACCGAACATGGGCTGTTTTCGCATTCCTCTTTCCACGTTCTTTGGGCAAGGAAAGTGGACGAGTGGTGGAAAAAGGCGAGCAAGTCATAGGGCATTCGAAAAATCGTGATGATGGCGCGACCGCGCGCGACACGCACGCACTTCGGAATACCGCATTGGTTTTCATCTCTAATCAAACGATTTTCCTGCTTACGTATGGTAGTATTTACACACTGGAAGTGATTGAGTTGAGCCTGAGGTGATGCCTTTTTGTATGAAATTATGCTCCTGTGGGCGCAAAGCTTATAAATGACCCATAAATTACAGAGCCAAAATCAACGCCAAAATGCGTTGCCTCGGTTGATTCTCAAATTTCCATCATTATTTTCATTAATAATTTCTCGGGTCCGGGGCAGTCGGATATGTTTTTGGTTATGGGGTAATTTCACAGTCTTTGCTTTCCCTTGAATTCCCGAAATTTTTTTCGTCGGAAAAGCATTACTTGATGTACTGGGTCATAGTTAGCTGCTTTTCGCCTCGCAATAAATTGTTGTTTGAAGCTATGGGGTCTACGGTACTTAAACCATCAGATCACTTCTTAACCAGGAAAATTTCGAGGCCTTTAGAGGGTTTTAATTTCCGAGGGAAGCTGTGCCATTAGATTTTACCATTATTAGCTTACAGTTGTAACCTTACCAGCATGAAAAAGATGTTCATCTGAGAGTTGTGTGCATCTGGAGCAAGGTATTTAGTGGCGATATTTGAAGGCAGCACTTGTATGTTTCGTATGCTGACTAGTTGTTTTTGTAGTAGACTCTGAAAGAAAAAAGTGATTTTGCCCATGTTTTTCAAACTGTCATAGCTGCTCTGGTACAGGAGGGTGGTGGCTTAGGACGCTATTTTTCCTGAATTTATGGAAATTTCATTTGGAATTGTTCAACTGGCATTCCCTAGCGAAAGCAATTGCGAAGACAAAATTCGGAAACTTTGCAGCTTTCTAAGATAACTGATTACTAACAATGAATGGAGTTCGCAACTTTTAGCTGAGAAGTTCAGGATTCAAGTTTAGCTCTACTGGGGCGAATGTGATTATTTCTCTATGCCCACCCCTTACGAATGAGAGCTATTTGGACTTTTTGGGATAGTTGGTTCTTCCGCAAAGCTTCTCGTTCTGTCTTATGAAGTGGAGGAATGGAATTTTCGGCGCCCTACAGAATATATCAGGTTGATGCATAATTCCTGCACCAAAATAGGTACATACCGCAATAACTCGGAATAATCCTATATCCCATGTAAGATTCGATACACCATTAGATAGCGCAAACCTAGCTCTACAAGATAGTGCTCAAATATCTACACCAGCTTTGATTCACGGAAGTTTTAAGCCAAAAACTGAAAAGAACCACGCGTCCGAAAACCTTAAGAAAGATCTTAAAAAAGTAACTCCGTTAAAAAAGCTCCTACAAAAATTCTTTCTTGCTCACGCGTAGGCGTTTTACATAAGACATTTATCTATGCAGTTGCTGTATTTTTTTCTCAGCTTGACGATGAGATAACGAAGGTTTTCATGTTTTTGCCAATTAGTGCTGAGATGTTCTAACACTAACGGTTGTATAGTACATGCCATTAGCAGTCAAAGTTTGCATTTTCAGCCTTCTAGAACAACTAGTTCACGAGTAATGACGAATCTAGCTCTGTTCATCCCGAATTTTTCTTGCCTAATTGCCAAAATTCGACATTTCTCGTAAACCAGTTGCTGTAAAAAGCTGAAAATTCATATTCATGCTTCTAAGGTCCTGTAGTATACATCTGTCAGTGCTAGAACATCTCAGCATTGTTTTGGAAAAAAACATGAAAAACTTCGTTTTCTCATCGTCTAGCTGAGCAAAAAATACAGGAACCGCATAGATAGATGTGATGCGTGGAATGTCTACGCGTGTGCAAGAAAGAAATTTTCTAGGAGCTTTTTGAACGAAGTTACAATTTTTTAAAGATCTGTCTTAAGGTTTTCGGACGCATGGTTTTTTCCAGTTTTCAGCTCAAAACTTCGCGTGGATCAAAGCTGGTGTAGATATTTGAGCACTATCTTGTAGAGCTAAGGCTTGCGCTATCTAATGATATATCGAATCCTACTTGGGATACAGGATTATTCCGAGTTATTGCGGTCTGTACCTATTTTGGTGCAGGAATTATGCATCAACCTAATACTACATGTTAGATTTTAGATGATCATGTCAAAACTTGTAAGTTCCAAATAAAAGGCACAGTCATAATGTTACAAATCTATGCAATTTGGAGTAGGCGCTGCGACAACCATTTTTGGAATTTTATTCATCCTGCGAGCATTAGGACAAATATTTCACAAGAATGAAAAGATAACGCTGTTTCGGATTCTCAACCAGTGAGTCAGCAAAGCATTGCTAATTGGTTTCCCCATAGGCACGAAATCGGAGGCCCTAACCAGTAAACTTTGAAATATAAGTATCAGAGCGTGTTTCATCTATCCTTGACTTCGTGACTTCTGCCACTCGGTCATTTCATAAGAAGAGCAACCAATCCTTTCTTGATTAATCAGTGCCTACAAAAATCCGTGCTTTCAGAGACTTTCTATACGAGCACGAAGAGTTCCAAAATTTCACAATGTGTCTTACGCAATTGCACAACTCTTTGACGCTATTCTATTTTTAGTCGTGACCCTAACTGTGGCTGTTTGACTCACATCTTTCTCATCCAGTCTATCGTACAGCAGCACTTTCGTCGATGGATAGAATTTATGAATGGAAGCGATAAGGACTAGCACTTTGCCCATGGCAGTGTGATCGGAACTCAAAGCAAAAGCCATCCCAGCATCCCTAAATGCCATTTCTTCAGCGAGAATTGTCGTTACCGCCATTGTCAGAGCATTCACCTCTTGCGATGTACCGGCGCAATCGAAATGCACGAAAAGCATCTGCCACATTGTGATGAATCAGCCGAAAGCGGATAGCAATTGGCCTTTGACTCGCACAAGCACTGATCCTTGCTGCTGATCCACTCGGTATGATAGGCTTCCTTTTGTGTGTTTTGGTAGTAGTAAAACTGGAATAATTGGGCGTTTATTAGCTCTCACAAACAATCGTAAAAACCCCAAAGCGTTCGATCAGCCGCAAGTTACGTTTTCGAACGTGCCCCGGCTTTGCAGCGTCTCGGAGTTTTATTATGCAGGAATGGTTTTAGTCGAAAAAATGTAAGCGAAAATGTAGGCGAGTGAGTCATCAACTAATCGCCGCACCGTTTTCACCATTCATCCAGAGAATTCCAGCAATCGAGCAATTGCTCACACTTTGTCAATAACAGTGAAAATATGAAAACATTGCATTTTTTTACCCCAGAAGATGCCATGAAAAAAGCAGAAACTGCATGTTCACACATTCTCAAATATTTTCCATTACGCGTAGCGCAGGTAGCCAAACAATCCAACACCCGCAAAGTTCACTTCATCCTGCAGATATATGCCCCAGTATCTGCTCGTAATCATGCGTTGCAGAAGGCAGCAAATATTTGCAATGTTCGCTGGACACTGAGGTGAGTGAGTGAGGACAAATGTCTGCTGTGTGCGCTGTGATGCGGCGATGATTTGGGCACTGCAGCATTTTCAAAAACGCCAACAGCTCTTCAAGCATAACACTGCTCATTTTTTCTCACTTTTAGAATTTTCAGTCAGTAGGGCTACACAAGCATCTATCTGTCACTATTTATTGTTTTGATGTCCCAAATTTTGCTTGCATTACGCAAACTTTTTGAGGTTCAAGCAAATTGGATCCCGCAAAATCTCGTTTTTTTGGAGTTTGTTAAGAGTTTGTTGCGCTGAATTCTTAAGGCTTAAAGGTGTATGTAGCCCGGATACTGGAAAGTGAAAATTTTCCATAGATTTTGAGCAGAAAGTGGCTGAAACACTCAAAAAACATAAAAACAAAACTTTTAACCCCTTCAATGTAAATGAAAAATTCTAAATTAAACTAAAATTTCTCGACAAATCGCTGTGCGCACTTTTTTTTACACAGCTGGATCTTTTTTTCTCCAAATTAAAACTTGAAAAAGTTGTCACATCCAAGTCTATCCTTTTGATGCAAAGGACATGCCTTGGACTCGAATTTTTATTAGGAATACTTTTTCGAGTGCATTTTCTTGATCTGATGTATGGTGAATCAGATGTTTTTACTGTTACTCATTTAAAATATATTTCTCGCAGACAAACGCGATCGAAATGGATTCAAAGAGTCAAGCTAGCTTACAATTGTGACTTATTAAGCAGTTATGAAAGTTTGCCTCAACTCTATTCAAATCTCACTTCCATATTTCGACTAGATCGACCAGAAAATTTTCACATTTGCAGATTACCACTTATTTCGCGGGAAAAGTGGAATATGGCAACAATGTGTAACTTACGGTGGTCCTGCCTAAAACGCTCTAACTTTTCGCATTTCTTTGAATATTGTACACAAATATTTCACGATAACTGTCACTAACAACTCGATGTGAGAGGGCTCCATTGCAGCTTACTTTTCAAAGTGCATCCTTGGCAAAGTGTCTCACAGCCGTGCATCGGCGAAAAAAAAATTGTCACAACATTCGACGATCCTCATTTCCTGCATCTTTGCCTGAATGCAGTTCTTGTTTCACTTAGGTGGCAGTCGGCTGTCATTGTTCGTATATCTGTCTCTAAACTACTAGCAACTGTTCCAAAAGAAGACAGCTTCTAATTTTAGGTTTGCACTCTCTTCTATTAGCCCTTTGGAGGTCGTTCTTTACTCTACACTTGTACAGAGATCTGCCAAATTTGTGAGAAGGTTTTGGCAATGAAAAGATTCCGATAGTGATTGAAAACAGTCCCTTTACGCTTAAGAGGCTAACAACAGTGCTTAGAGGTGTCATATATTGTATGTGATTTAAGCAAGTTCAACTTTTCAACTTTCAGTAAAAAAGTGATATAAACAGCACTAAACAGCACTTTGCGGCGAAATATAGCGACCTTATTCACGCTGATAACTTTTTCGCCAACTTTTAACTTTTCTTCTCATGTAAGTAAATCCCCTGCGCCGTACAAACCTTCACTTGATCAAAAAACTTTGCAACATTTTGCAAAGCTTGTGTAATAGCGGTATGAGAACACAGAGCGTTGTATACTAGTGGGAACTTCTCGAAAAATGAGAAGTTGTGATTTTGGTAGAGTTCAAAAAAATATGATTATATCACCTGTGCATGCATAGCTTTACCTCTGCTTATTGGGCAATCTCCTTCTATTTCATCAAGGCTTCTCTTTGATATAGTAAGACCATGCTTATATAGGTAAGACCAAGTATTTTAGCCTAATTGATTTTTCTTGATTTCTCGCCTTGAGACACTAGAAGATTTAGCGCATTTTCCTTCCAATATGCTACGTAAACAATCGCTCTATATAAGATAATTCCTTTGAATTGCAGTTCAACATTTGTTGCATTTTTCGCGGATTTCGTATCGCACTACATCATCTAAAGATTTGGCACACCTGCTATTGAGCGTAAGACTCAACGCCACATTCCCACCTTCCACTAATAGCACTAGGTAGACTTGAGATTCGAAAAACTCACAGCAATTTGGAAAATAAACAGCGTTGTCAGGCAACCCAGCACAATGTTGGTCAGTGAGGCGGCGGTCATCTGCGCTATCGAACATCGATATGAGTGAGCCCAGCTGAGAGCCCATGTTCGGCTCCGTGCTCTCATAACCTCAAGCAGCGAAATTCTTCACGCATACGATTACTCTCATTCACACTCGCTCTCTTTTCATTTGGGATTGCGATTTTCCCAGCTGGTCTCTCAGCTTTTCTGTACACAAAAAAAAAACGACCACATGCACTCTTCTGCACGCCTGCACTGGCAGGGTGGCCAAATTATGCGCCATGGCTAGATACCGTAGCCATGCTGGGTTGCCACGAGTCCTTTAAGGCGTCGTTGCGCAATTCAAACAGCGGCTTAGCGCCGTCGCGCAAAAGACGGACGACGTGTCGCTGGTGTGTGCGTGTGTGGGTTTGCGTGTGTGAGTCGATCGAATCGTCGCCACTGTAGTCGACCATTACTCATACCAATTTCGATCAGTCAGATCTCTTTTGTCACTTCTCGCTGCAGCAGGTGCAGTTCCCACTGTTCCCGAGACTACTCGTCCGCAGTGCACCGTAGATGCAGGCGGGCGCCGAGTGAGGTCCACCTGCAAGCGCTTCTGGGGTCAACTCAGGTGTGAGACGGCATTGATCGGGACTGTCGGTTTCGTGTTGTTGTTCCTATCCGTGACCTTTATTATGATGACGAGAGCCCCTCACGGCCGATCCGAAAAATCCGCCCCACGTATTTGTGGATATTCCCTTGTCAAAGATCTTCCCCCTGTCATTATCTCTGCTCTGATACAATCTCTGCAAAATGTCTCTTCTGAACAAAAATTCGCCAGCAGTGCTCTTCCACAGTCTAGCCGATTTCTTTTTCGCCCCGGATGCGGTAGCGTCCAGGCGACATTTGCATTCTCCACTGCACCACGATGGTACTGAATCATCGAATATTCAATGGTAATCTGCGCTCCGCAGCGCCACTCATGTCCCTTCACCAATGTCCTTGTTCTGAAACATTCTGCCCTTTGAAATGTCAGATCAATTCCACTTTGAACTAATTTCTCGCTAAAGTCCGCAACTATTCTAAGACATCATCAGTGCAGTTCTGATCCGGTCTCTGTTTGAAATTCAGAAATTTTCGATACTTGATATCCTTGTGAATTACAGTAGCTTCTATAGGTTACTCAGTCCTTTATTCGACTATTTGATTGTCGTAGGAAAGTCAGTTACTATATGTTCTTTTACTTTGAGCAACCAAATTTATTTATTTGTTTATTTATTTATTTATTTATTCTTGCAAGTAGCCAACAATTCAAAGTACTGGTAAATCAATGAGTAAACACAAACGATAAAAATTAAAGTATTACTAAATTATGAAATCAAAAATTTACCTAAAGATGCGGGGTCTGCACAACTGGGATTCCAAAAATGTGTTGACTTTTTTTTACTTGAACTCACTGTGCTGATAAGTGTCTGCTTGCATGTACTGTTTTGTGTGGGCATCTTCGATGCGAACAATGTCTTGCTATCTTTGCTTCAGCTGATAAAGACTTTTTTCAAGAGTTTTCTTGCCTTAAACCAGTCGTTTATGCTAGCTTGAACTTAAACCGCTTAGATTACATTTTAACGGAATTTTTCGTGATTTGTAGCCTTTTTAACCATTTTTCCAATTTCAATCATAATAACTTCTAAAGGCAGTAATCATCAGCTGCAGTGTTCCATTCTCTCATTATGTGTACATTTCGATCCACCACAAGTAAGCTGCAAATTTCTCAGCAAGTCGTCGAGATTTCTCGCAACGAAGCGGTGCTTTTTTTTATAGCGACGCTTTGCTGGTCGTAAACACGATGCGTTCCGAACTGCTTAACTCAGCTCAATGCGGCTGCTATCTAAACTTACGCGATGAAGCAGCGTGAATTTTGCTTGCATATCGTTCTCCACAGTTCCGTTAATTATGCGCGAACATATATTGAATTTTTAGCATTCCGAATGTTATGCGCCTCGAATACCAGTAATTCTTGCTATGTTTTGATGACCACTGCGCTAACGTCTCTCACAACATTCGTGTATTCCTCAGAAATGTGCGTCGATGACATTTCATATTCACGAGACTAAACTTGTGCGTTGTTCAATGATAAGTAATCTCGTTTTTTTTTTCAAGAACACACTAACTTTTTCTGGAAGTTGAGCATAATTCCGCATTTTTTTTTGAATTAATGTATGCTCTACGTTATGAGAGAGTTTTGAGCAACACTTCTTCGCATATAATCCAACCAGTAGTTGATGGTGGTCGGCTCAGAAATCGGCGACCTATGTCAACAGTCGAAATAGTATCGTGGCTTTTATGTCGATTACTGTTTAGAAAACATTACTGAGAATTAGAGTTTGAAATGGCGAGCACTTTTAATGCATTGATTACAAACTCGTCAAAATAAAAACGTTGGTTTGCTGAGGTCCTCGCGATAGACCGACCACCCACGTTGCAAATTGAAATCCGTGTACTACTGTTCCCTTTGATCTACTACTTTTCACTTGCATTGATTGACTTAATCATGGCTTGCATATCAGTATCATTCATTTCCACTGTGCTTCACCGTTGAGTAAAGACGTGTTTTTTCCTTTCATTCTTTCTTGAAAGCCTCAGCCACATTTTCTTAGTTGGTCGAGAACGTGATGTTAGAAAACGAAAAGATATTTGATTCAAAAGGCTGTGAATACTTGGACTCCACTATGAGCCGGACTTAGTCGATGAAACGAATTAGTTCTGTTGAATCTGGTTTTATCCCAATACATAACTGTATCATTGTTCCTGTCCTGGCCTTTTCATTCTCATACTTACCCTATATAAAATGTTCATGAATTCTCTCCCCCCCCCCCCCCTCCATCCCGCCTCTTCATCGCACCTCTCTGCGTCTGATAATGAGAATAACCTTGTGCGGTGGTGGAAGGAGGCGCGACACCGTGCTGACCATCCGCATTTGGGCGAGGCACACGCGCATACCAACATTATCTCCTTTTCTATTCCTTTCTCTTCTATCCATACTTTTCATATTTCATATAGTCACTAACATCTTTTGAACTACTCTATCACCGACCCTATCAACGCTATCGGCAGCCACTTTCAGCCGTTTACAACCCTCCGCCATTCATGGAGGCCTATCTTTCTTTTGCCATCAAGTTTGCTCAAGCAACGTTTCTTGCTAGCGTTTCGAAGCATGACATTGTATCAGTCCGTGTCCTGGAATGAGTCATGGAGTTGTGAGTATAGTCCATTAAACAAATAGCGGCTGGCATCATGGCCGGTTTGCTCTATGCATAGAAGTGGGAAGATGCGAGAGTTTCATACGATTTGCACCTTGTATGGGTCAAAGCGAGCTTGTCATTGGACATCCAATTTTTTGTCCCATTTCTTTGTCTTTTTCTGCTATTTTTGCCAATATTCAATCGTTGGAACATAGACGATTTTCGCTTCTTTTTTTTCTCATGAGAGTATCCGGTCAAAAGTTGATTATTTGTCATACACAGAATTTTATTATCTGTTCTTCTCATCAGCCCAATAAGTACAAAAACTTTCTTTCGCGGAAATTACAGATAGATAATGAGCAATGCTTCACATAACTTGATTTCCAGAGAATCTCCCCGTGATCGTTATGCCTACGGATTTTTTTATCACTTATCTGCGAGTTTCTGTAGATTTTTCATGTTTTTCTCGTTCATGATAAGTTGCAGTTTTCTGCATCTTGTAACGAAGTAGGAACCACTTTATCTGCTCTTGAAATTAATCATAGTGAGTTTCAGCAAAGAAGAACTCTTGCGTAATTCGGATGTGGAGTTGATGTAGCGATTAGAACGTCTTTTCAATTCATACATAACGGATTCTTCTTTGACTGTGAATCTACATATACTTTACTGTCTGCGTTTCAGTAGTTATTTCTCGAAAAATTTGGATGTCTGTCCTTGCAAGTTTTTTTCGCATTCTTCGGTCCGTTTCTTTTTGGTTTGATACCTCGCCAAGGGTTTCCACATTTAAGTCTAGAGTTTACATTCACGGAGTTGTTGAATCTCTGGATTATTGTGATGACTTTTTTGTATCTTCTGTCTTAATCGTAGTGGGAAATCATATTTAATAGTTGGTAAATACTGAAAACTCTTTCACTACGTGCATACTATGTCATATCCGCATTGTTGATCTTGCCGCCTCTATACGTGCTCAGTAAGGTAGAAACTCCTCAACGTGTGGTTAAACGGTCTGAACCAGTACCGTGCGGAGCTTTCGATCCTGAAAGAGGAAGTGGTCGGAGGAATCGCCGAGTTTTGGGTTGAACAGCAGCGATTTCTGGTTATTCGGTTTGCCGCACCCATCTCTAATGGTCAGCCAACTGGTCGATGCATGTCGCGCTGAGTCACCCGAGCCTTTTGTTCCCGCCTTAGCGTCTTGCTGCCCCGACCTCGTCCTCGTCCCTGCATCGTTCCCTCGAGCTGCTATGATCTGCTTCGGTGGCGTTTCTTGAGAATATTACATTGCCGACTGATCCATTTGCTCAAGTTCGTGTTTACTCGCCACTGTTGATAGTTCTTGTCGAGAAGTTGTCGCCGTGTGCGAACAACGTTTGCTATTCAACAATTCACTCGTCTACCCTTTCTCTCGTTAAGAGCGTTCCATTGCGCCCCGCTTTTTCTGTGTCAACATATATGTGAGCCAGTCAGTGAGAACTTATAGATACTTTCGATCAAATATATGTCGCGACTGTAGTAGATGTGTTTGTATATACATTTAATCCGTATGTATATGTGCGTATGTACGTGTGTGTGTGCGGTAGCGTCCCTCGTCGTGCTGGCTCCGTGGTTTTTTTCGCGATTCCCTCAGCGATCACTCGTTCGGTCGCTCAGGAATGCAATCTGTCAAGGTCGCCCTCTCTTGTCGTTTTTAGTTACGCTTTCGTAATTACTAAGCTCGAAAAAGCATCATAGTTATTTGTGAATCCTTGTCTTGTCGGAGTGCATCTGGATTGAAATCTTGACTGTTTTTGCGACAAATTCTGTCTCTTCTTCCGAGTAAACTGTCATGCAGCATCCCTCCTCTTCTTTGTGCTTGATATTTTAATCGTTTGGAACTGCTTTGGTTTCACCTTGTTAATCTGATTATACGCTGTGTCATCTCCAAATCCTCGGTGATAAAACCACTTCCGCTGTAACTGAAACTAAATACGTATGGCCCTCGAATCTTCCCAAATGTTAGCATTTTTGAGTGCTTCAAAGGGCGGGAACAAAATGCGGTAAATAAATATGGTTTGGTACCCATTCTAAGCTTTCGAAGATATTGCTGTTAGACTGTCGGTATCGATTGATGCTGACTTCCCTCGTATGGTTCCCCTAGGCTACAAAAAGCTTCTTATGTAAGCAAAGCAATCTCGTATTAACATCGGACAAATAAGCAGTCACCTTTGACCACTTCTGTACTACTACAAAATTCACATTTTGGTCAAAATAATTCCCGTGCATCAACGCATTCCGAAGCGTCAAAATTGATGCTAAAACTGGTGGAACATCATTCACCGTCACATAACTTAGGGAAGATTTAGATCAACTTATGGCAACTTGGCAGAGCGTTATCTTCAACACTTTTTACTACGATTTTTGCTGTAAATTGACTAGGGACAAGTTTTCGCTTTTTGATATCATTAATCACCCGTTTTATATTACGGCACACTCTCAGAGATGAACTGATATAGGGCAGTTGATCTAGTTGTTAAGTTTATCTAGAGGATGGCAAAATATAATAAGTGTTATTTTGCAGTCGTTCTTCCGAATGCACTTGCGCTACTGCAAACTTCTTGAGATTTTGATGAAAGCTCTCACCATAGGCTTCTTTTCCGTCGCGCAGTGATGCAAATGTGCACAGAAGATTTTAAAACATTGTAAATTTTACAAAGCTACTAGGTGGAGCCAGCTAAGCGCAGGTCGATGCGCATTTGGTGCGTACACTACGCGCATGCACTTTTGTGCAAACATGGATATATTGGTGTACGTTGCAAAGGTTTTTTCTGCTAAATATCACTTTTTCTTCGCATTTTTCATGGCACGCACGTAACACCTGAGGGAAGCGAAAATCTCTACACTGTACTCTGGTGTCATGATGAGCTTGTTGAAGCGCTTTGCTGATCACTTCGTTCCTACAATAAAGCGGACGGAATTCGCAATGACTAATCACGTGATTGATGCATATTTTGACGGGAAGCGCCGTCGAACAGTCATCGGGCATGTAGATATACGCCCGTGCAATGGATGTCAGTTTCTGCGTTTCGGAGACGTCATCCTGACCCCCTAGCCATTGCTGATGGGGTCTATTTGTCGCCTGCGAGTTCAGTCCATAACTCATCTTGATGGCATTATCCATGCTTTAATGGGAGCCTTGCTCTCACTCTTCGAACTATTTGTGATTTTGTACCATATGTACCATCTGCTTTCTCTCCAACTCTGGTGTTCATTATCCTGCTATGCATGGAAGCTCTTTACCCGTGTGCATAGGCCCAAACACAATTCATTCACATTTATACCGTCGTTCTTTCGTTGTCATTTGAATGATTATTTGAAAGAGGACTTTGCAGCCACACATGGAGGAGTCGGACCTTCGCTTTCTGCAGGTGCAGAGAGCGGCCGTCGCCGACCCAGCACGAGCCTCCGAGTGGGCCGGCAAGAAACTCTGCTGGGTACCTCACGAAAAGGACGGATTTGTCGCCGGATCAATAAAGTAGGGCTTATTCGCGAAGTGCTCTACTGTTTTTAACCGATTATTATTATAGAAAAGAAACGAACGACGAGGTGATCGTCGAGATCTGCGATACTGGAAAAACAGTCACGATAAGTAAGGATGACGTCCAGAAGGCGAACCCTCCAAAGTTCGACAAGGTCGGCGGCACTGCATGATTGTGAATTCTTTTCCAAATTTCCTTCGATTATCTCAGGTCGAGGACATGTCAGAACTGACTTATCTGAATGAGGCGTCTGTTCTTCACAATCTCAAGGAGCGTTACTTTAGTTCTCTTATTTATGTGAGTTGCTAGGAGTCAAGCTCTTCAATGTTGACGATCCTGTTTCAGACGTATTCGGGTCTTTTCTGCGTGGTGATTAATCCATACAAGCGCCTGCCAATATATTCGGAAAGTTTGATCGAGGAATTTAAGGGTAAAAAGAGGCACGAGATGCCACCCCACATCTTTGCTATAGCCGATTCAGCCTACCGTTCCATGCTACAAGGTATGCTCTATGTGTTATTGAAGCTATGTTGTGGTAATTGGTCTGAACTGCAACAAATGTTCGCTGCAGAACAGGTGCACATAAACAACATGTTCAACGTGTTCTTTTTCAGATCGCGAAGACCAATCCATTCTTTGCACGTGAGTTCGTTGTGACTGTTAGTCTGTAAATGTTATTGGCCTCTTGCGCGTTTTACACACCACTTCAGTGGTGAGTCCGGAGCTGGCAAAACAGAGAATACAAAGAAAGTCATCCAGTATCTGGCACATGTCGCTGGGGCGACTCGATCCAAAGGAGGACCGCAGGCACCTGCAACATCCCCTGCAAAAGTAATCACATTTGAAGTTTTTGGTTTTTCTTATATTTTCACTTTTCAATATATTCAGTTTCTGCAACTAAGTTTTTCATTATTTTCTAGCACGATCAGTATCGGAATTCTATCGTAAGTTTCATTTTGTCAAGTGATGTACCGGTGTCTGCAATTGTTGTCTTTTTGTTGTTTGGTGTCTTAACTTACCCCAGAGGCTATTCTCACCCCCCTAGTCGTGTCCTGGTATATGTTTCAGTATCAGCATACTTTTGCTCTCACAGAAGGCTTATATTAGAAACCTTCCAGACAATGTGATCATCGCTTAGATTATCTTTGGTTGTTACGTCAGCACAACGTGAATCTGTTTGTTTCAGGGTGAGCTGGAACATCAGCTTTTGCAAGCAAATCCGATTCTAGAAGCATTTGGTAACAGTAAAACTGTAAAGAATGACAATTCATCCCGTTTTGTGAGTTATTTTAGATCTACAGACACATTCTTTTGGAGAAAAAATGGCGTTAACAGAGGAGTAATGGAGGCTGTTTCAGGGAAAGTTCATTCGGATCAACTTTGATATGTCCGGATACATCTCGGGAGCTAACATCGAGTTTTATCTGCTTGAGAAGTCCAGGACATTACGCCAAGCCCCGGATGAGCGAAGTTTTCACATTTTCTACCAATTTTTACGCGGCACCTCTCCGGCAGAGAAAGGTAGGCATGTTTCAGTATATATTGAATCATCTTCTTTTTTCCTATCACATACCAAAAGCAAGTCATTTCTTTTCCTTTTCGCGTTCCATTCCATCTGCGAATTGCTGAGAGCTACGTGTAGGTGGCGGCGTCGCTGACTATTGACTTGTACAAGCTAGGACACGTAGGGTTCGGCACCAACTCACGATCTTTTTTGACCCCGCACGCTCTATACCTTTGAGGTGTAATCAATATAGGCGTTATTTATCGTTCAGTGTTTGAGTGTGGCGACATCGTTTTCACGCTTAGAAGGCCGCGTACATAAACAGAGGCGACATCTCTGCGAAATATGAGGGAGTCTCGAGTCGAGGGAGTCGCAGAGACTGTCGAGCGCTGTGTCGGAGATAACAGTTCTCCATGAGTGCAACACGGTCTATCAAGATAAGTCTGTATCAGGTGTCCGAGAAGAGATATAGGTGAACAATCGACCGCGCCGACGCAAGATCCAGAGATTTGGCACGATATGACCCATCACAGTGTGCTAAAACATGCGTTGCGATATGCATGATCATTGTGCCCGTGCGGAATGTATCCAGCGAGGGCAAAGTTGTGAACCCATGCTGGAAGTGCGGGTATGGGAATGCTTTGCGAGTTGTTTGTGGTCAGCGATGCGCTGGCGCTATAGGTGAGAGATAAACACAAGCAAACATCAAGTGGAAGGACGGCCAACCACTGGAAAAAGATCGAGAGCACTCTTGAGGGCGAAAGAATCGGAAACACAGAATGACCAGACCAACAACCGGGTCTAATGTTGTGCATGTACGCGAAACGGGTCAGGCGTCGTCTTGTCGTTTCGGAAGGCAATGCATTGCTCAGAATGCATAGAAATGACTTTTTCTTACTTAACAAATGGGGAGGGGGGGGGATTTTTGTTTAGGTGTATAGGGTTCGTATCGAAGTGGTAGTGTCGTCCAGCACGACATTTGCGTGATTTGCATCGCGGTGTTCAACTTTGAACGCTTCTTCGACAGCGCTTCACACTTTGCTTGATGTGCAGAACTTGGGAAATCTCAAATTAGCCGCTTTTGCCATACTACAGAATTTGATTTGCGTGTCTATAGCGCCGCATTGCACATACTTGGTTGGATGTGTCTGCATCATCCAGTTTTATCTTCTTTCAGCTAGCTACTTACTCGAAGATATCGATAAGTATCGATTCTTGGTAAATGGAAATATCACGCTGCCGAATGTTGATGATGCACAAGAATTCCAAAGCACTCTCAAGTCTATGCGGATCATGGGATTTGCAGAGGATGAGATTACTTGTGAGCACTTTGAATTCCTCAGAAAACTCTCGATGATCAACGAAAAAAGAATGACTTTACAGCTGTGCTTCGTGTTGTGTCAGCAACAATACTTATGGGTAACTTCGAATTCACACAAGAAAAGAAGTCTGATCAAGCAATACTTCCCGATGACAGAGGTAATATGAGTTTAAGCAGGCATGAGACGGCGCATGGAAACATCATTCTTTCAGTGATCCAAAAAGTATGCCATCTACTGGGTCTTCCAGTTATCGAGTTGACCAAGGCGTTTTTGAGGCCGAGAATCAAGGTATTTTTTGTCATACGTGAAGTGAAGTTCGTTCACCCTTAATTATCAAGGTATTTAGGTTGGTCGTGAGTTTGTGAACAAAGCTCAGAATAAAGAGCAGGCTGAATTTGCCGTTGAAGCCATAGCCAAAGCTTCCTATGAACGAATGTTCAAGTGGCTTGTGAATCGCATTAACAAATCCCTTGATCGAACTCGCCGCCAAGGAGCTTCCTTCATCGGCATTCTTGATATTGCAGGGTAAGATGCTTATCAACCTCGTTCTTATGTTTTCTTGACTACAGGTGGTGAGAAAGTGTAGTGGGTAAACAGTCGCGAGTTTGTGGTTACTTAACTCGATCTTTTTCATTGTCCGTCGTCTAGTAATTCAGTGTACTCACCTTTCAGTTTCGAGATATTTGAGCTGAACTCGTTTGAGCAGCTTTGTATCAACTTCACAAATGAAAAACTGCAACAACTGTTCAACAACACAATGTTTATCATGGAGCAAGAGGAATATCAACGAGAAGGTAAGCATTGTTTCTTTTGTTTCTTTTATATGTATCTTGGATAACTAGTCGTGCTGGAATTGCTTTCTCTTGCTGTTCGACCAAGACCCGCTACGATAGAAAGCTTTTTCTATAAAACTATTTCAAATCCGCTTTTTCCTTTGCAACACTGTTGCATGGGTGTTTTAGGAATTGAATGGCAGTTCATTGATTTTGGTCTCGACCTTCAACCAACAATTGATTTGATTGAAAAACCAATGGGCTTGCTGGCTCTATTGGATGAACAATGTCTGTTCCCGAAGGCTACCGATAAGACACTTGTGGAGAAGTTGCAGAAGACGCACAGCAAACATCCTAAATTCATAGTTCCGGATATGCGTGCCAAGAGTGACTTTGCCGTCGTGCATTATGCAGGTAAGGAAAATTGTCTTCTCTTTGTTGTTGGTGTATGGATATGTTCAGGCCGTGTTGATTACTCTGCTGACCAGTGGCTCATGAAGAACATGGATCCGCTCAACGAAAACGTTGTTGCCCTTATGCAGGCATCAACGGATCCGTTCGTATGTGGAATTTGGAAAGACGGTCAGTTTTCCTCACAGGAGGTATTCTCTCTCAGAACATTTTATTCTAGCTGAATTCGCGGGAATATGTGCTGCTGAAATGAACGAGACCGCATTTGGTGTACGCGCTAAGAAGGGCATGTTCCGAACCGTATCTCAGTTGCACAAGGAGCAACTTACTCGGCTTATGACCACTCTGAGAAACACAAGCCCACATTTCGTGCGATGTATAATCCCTAATCACGAAAAGAAGGTATGAAGCTTGTAGCGGCTTGCCAGCGGCCCTTTTATGATCTGACGTGCTCACATTCTAGGGGGCCATGCGTCCATGTTCTCATAAAAAAGTTTTCTAGGCTGGTAAAATCAACTCTATGCTGGTTTTGGAACAGCTGCGATGTAACGGCGTATTGGAGGGTATTCGTATCTGTAGGCAAGGATTCCCGAATAGGGTGCCATTCCAAGAATTCCGACATCGCTATGAAATTCTGACCCCTAATGTCATCCCTCGCGGCTTCATGGATGGAAAAGAAGCTGTCAAGTAAGTACGTTACATCTTTATGAAAGCAAAGGCTTCATTTTATAGGAAGATGATTGAGTATTTGGAAATTGACTCGAATCTGTATCGCATCGGTCAGTCGAAGGTATTTTTCCGAACGGGTGTACTCGCGCATCTTGAGGAGGAGAGGTGGGTAGTTCTTCATTGAATGCAACTCAGCGTTTTTGCGTTAACTAGAAGAAATTCCAAATTTCGCTTTATAGGGACCTGAAACTGACCGATCTGATCATCCAGTTCCAAGCTCAGTGCCGTGCATTCCTGGCAAGACGCCTATACGTGAAGAGGGTTTGTTTTACAAAGTGTTGGCTCACTAATATTTACTATGTACTCGTTACAGATGCAACAGTCCAGTGCCATTCGAGTACTACAACGAAATGGTTTGGCCTGGATGAAGTTGAGGAATTGGCAGTGGTGGAGACTCTTCACAAAGGTGACCTCACATAGCAATTTGTACACTCCTCATTCATTTTTTGTGTAGGTGAAACCGCTTCTGCAAGTGACCAACCAGGAAGCGGCTATTTCTGCCAAAGAGGATGAGTTACGCATTGTCCGTGAGAAGCTGGATCAGATCGAGACCGAATATAAAGAGAGTCTAGGAAAGATAGACCAAGTGGGTATCATCTCGACTTTAACTTCTTATTATCTCAGTTCGTATCCACAAGACCTTTTCCATTGATCAGCTTTTTAAGTGGGATATTTTGAAGAAACCTCCACCGTATCGTCTCATCTAAGTCATTTTCTAGGTTATGGCTGAGAGGAATGTTCTACAAGATCAGTTGCAACAAGAAACGGATAATAATGCTGAACTTGAAGAAGTGAAGAATCGGCTGCAGTTGAAGGTATCATAGAATAGAATTTGCGAGGAGGATCCCATATGATTGTGTTGCAGAAAAATGAGCTTGAAGAAATGGTTAACGAAATGCGCGATCGTCTTGTAGATGAAGAACAACGCACGGAGAAGATGTCGTTAGAAAAGAAGAAACTTGTTGTGAGTTCTTCGTTCTTTCTGCCTATTGTGACTTATTTTGCTTTCTTTCTTTATTTATTGTCGTGGTGTCAATTTCCCTGCTGTCTGCTCATTTTGTACTTACCGAACCACTGACTTGTTCATTTCCCTGTTCCTTTTCTAGTCTCTAACAATGACTATAGTCTACTTGTTCAGGAAACTGTTCGAGATCTCGAGGAACAGCTAGAACAAGAGGAGCAAGCTCGGCAGAAACTCCAACTTGACAAGGCCAATGTTGATCAGCGAGTCAAGAATGTAGAGACTAAACTTGTGGATATCACGGTCAGATTCAATTTTAAGTTATAAGACTCTACTTGCATTCATGGTTTCATCGTATAGGACGCTCATGACAAACTACTCAAAGAAAAGCGGATCTTGGAAGACAAGATGAACCAGCTAAACTTACAACTCAGCGAAGAAGAGGAGCGGGTGAAGCAGGTTGCCAGACAACGTGGAAAGGTTACTTTTCGATTTTTTATGCTTGCTTTCTCATCCAAGAATGAGTATTTTCTAAGTAACATTTTGTAGGTTGAAGGACATGTGCAAGAACTAGAACAAGAACTTCTCCGAGAACGCCAGATCAAGGGTGAACTGGAGCAGCAGAAGCGTAAGCTCATTAGTGAGTTGGACGATAGCCGTGAGCTGTTGGAAGAAAAGCGAAGCAAGCTCGAGGAGCTCAACGGTCAATTAATGAAAAGAGAAGAAGAACTTTCACAAGTTTTGACGAGGTTAGGGATAACATTCACTTTGTTCTTACGCAGTTCACTCTGATTGGTCTGCCTGTGGACTAAGAGGTAATAGTTGTAGGTCCGATGAAGAAGCTGCTACAATTGCTCTTCTGCAGAAGCAGATCCGTGACATGCAAGCAACGATTGATGAGTTGCGGGAAGACATAGAGACAGAAAGAGCTGCTCGAAACAAAGCTGAAATGGCTCGCAGGTAAGAAATATGCGGCTTATCATGCAAACAATAACTTGTACAATTCGTATTCGTGCTCCTTCTCTGATCCCCGATATGTTCAGAGAAGTTGTTGCTCAGCTGGAAAAAGTGAAGGGTGACATGCTTGACAAAGTGGATGAAACCAGTGTTCTTCAAGACATTATGCGAAGGAAGGAAGACGAAGTTCGAGATCTTAAGGTGTGATTACAATTGAAAGCGTTTGTTTGCATCGAGTAACATTCTTCGAACATTGTATGTCTTCCAGAAAGCTCTTGAAAGTAGCACTCATACGCTGGAAAACAAGTTAGAAGAACAGAAATTGAAATATAATCGGCAAGTAGAGGAGCTTCACGAAAAACTTGAACTGCAGAAAAAGCTCAACACACAACAAGAGAAGTACAAGCATCAAGTGGATAGTGAAAGAGTGAGGGATTATTATGTTGACTTAAATTATAAATCAATGTCGAAGTTACCCCTTTGACTTTGCTAAGATATATAATGAAAAAGTGGAAGTTGTGAGTGTTTTGCTTCGTTTTTCAATTCACGCAGCTAAATCAACATTTTGGTTTTCTCTATATAAGGATTTTTCGCTAAATTGCAGGCGGAGCTGGCCCAAGAGCTTGCCAATATCCAAGCACAGAAAGCTGAAGCGGACAAGCGCCGCAAACAACAGGAAGTACAGTATTTGGATATGCAGTCTCAACTGGCTGAGTGCGATGAGCATCGTCTCCAAGTCATAGAGCAGCTTGAAAAGGTTGCGTTTTGCGTCTTCTTTATGATTCATACTCAGATATCTCATTCGTCCAGGCACGTGAAGAACTTGAGCATATCAGCCGTGCCCGTGAAGATGAGGAACAAAACGTCTCCAATTTGAATAGAAAGATAGCGGCGCTTGAAGAGCAGCTTCATGAGCTTGCTGATCAGGTTCAGGTGAGACTTAGACTTGCAATCTTTGAACTTTGCCGGAGTGTCATGATCGTGTTTCAGGAAGAAACCCGCGCCAAACTTGCTCAAATCAACCGAGTACGTCAGCTTGAGGAAGAAAAGGCAACTGTGGCCGAAGAACGCGATGAGATGGATGCTACACGTCAACATCTCGAACGAGTAAGCATTATGAAAATACTCGGTCTGCAGATCTTTCCAAGTTGAGCGTTTTCAGGACATCGGTGTTCTTCGTTTGCAACTGGCTGAAGCCCGCAAGAAGGCCGACGAAGGTGTCATCCAGCAAATGGAGGAGCTGAGAAAGAAGGCAAGTATATCCTCTGCTGACTTATTTCTTTGAATTCCTTTCATTATTTCCGCGATTTCTCGTTCGCTTTGTTGTGGTGTTATATTGCTCCGGATGGGTTGATAGCAGTGTGAGTTGGGTCTTCAAAAGCGGAAACATACGGAAAATTTCGATTTCATTGAACTTGCTACGGACAGAGTTAAACATTGTTAGCGGATGCTTTGTTTATCACACTGCAAACGATAGATGTTCTTGGAAGTGCAAACTCGTATGCAGCAGCTAATCACGCCCACTGCTGTAGTTTGAACTTCACTGCAAAAACGAAGTGATTGTAAATCGCCGATTATTTTTTTCATGCAAGAGACAATGCACTCAAATAATCCACCACAGCAAAAAGCTTTCCGGAAGATTTATTGATGTTGTGTCGGTATGTGCTGTTCGGGTGCTGTCGTGCGTTTGAGAAGAGTCTTACGTAAAATAAAGCGTAAAAAAGTAATTTCAGGCAACATACTGTTTTATTATGGCTAAGTATTATTGTTTAGGCGCAGCGCGACCTTGAAAATACTCAACACCAACTTGAAGAAAGTGAAGCCAGCAAAGAGCGACTGATCCAAAGCAAGAAGAAGCTTCAGCAGGAGGTTTGGTTCCATTGGAGTCTGCCGAAGTGGTTTGATGTGTATTATCCATGATTGTTTCAGCTAGAAGATGCTAACATCGAGCTTGAGAACATTCGCACAGCTTCAAGAGAAATGGAGAAGAGGCAAAAGAAGTTTGATATGCAGCTGGCCGAGGAGCGCGCTAACGTCCAAAAGGCACTAATTTGTTATTGAAAGTCGATGGTACATCACACGACAGAATTTTAGGCAATTCTTGAAAGAGATGCGCACGCACAGGAGTCACGTGACCGTGAAACCCGAATCCTATCCTTAACAAATGAACTCGAGCAAATGAAGGCATCCATTGACGAAACTGAAAGAGTTCGCCGCATGCTTCAACTTGAGCTGGATGAGTCGGTAGGCAAACACATATTTAGTTAGATTTTATAGAGGGTAGATGGTATCTGTTGCAGATCTCATCGAAAGATGACGTTGGAAAGAGTGTGCATGAACTAGAAAAGGCAAAACGGATGTTGGAACAGACTGTACAAGAGCAAAAGGCAACCATCGAAGAACTCGAGGATCAACTAGGATTCGCCGAAGATGCTAGGTCAGTTTATTTCTATACAAAATTCTCGATGTCAAAATGTGTCAAATATGTGATTGTTGGTGGTAATCAATTATTTTGAGGCTCCGACTCGAAGTCAATATCCAGGCTCTTCGTGCTGAACAAGACCGCAATCTTAGCGCGAAAGATCAGGTCAGTGCCAGTTTAGCCTCGCTGACTGGTTTTCGTTTGAGTAAAAGGAACGCCATAAATAGTCTCTAGGCAGTGCAAACTTTTTCCCATGCTCATTAACTTTAGGAAGCCGAGGATAAGCGTAGAAGTCTAGTAAAGCAGTTGCGCGATCTTGAGCAAGAGCTGGAGAATGAGCGCCGAAGCAAAGCTGGAGCGATCAGTCAAAAGAAGAAAATGGAGGCTCATACTGCAGAAATCGAACAGCAGCTTGATGTGGCAAATCGACTCAAGGTTGGCACCAGTAAATATGTGGGAATGTTCAATGGGCCTCAATTTCTATATCTAGGATGACTATAACAAACAACTCAAGAAGAATCAGCAGATGATCAAAGAATACCAACATGACAGTGAAGAAGCTCGTCAAATGAAGGAAGAAATTGCTTCACAGCTTAGAGATATAGAACGCAGATTGAGGTAGTAAATAAGATAGTGTTGCAACTTTAAAGTTACATCACCGTACTCTAGGTCAGCGGAAGCAGAAAATCAACGCTTGGCGGAAGCTAATGAGCTGCTTACATCCCAGAAAAGGCAACTCGAGCAAGAAAAAGATGAGCTAGAAGAGCTTCGCGGCCGAGTAAGTTTGGCACAAATAGTGTGGGTGTATGCGAACTTGTTGCGTCACTCCCAAATTTAGGGAGGGAGCTTCTCTTCCGAGGAGAAACGCCGATTGGAACAAAAGATAGCCCAACTGGAGGAAGATTATGAGGAAGAACAGAATAACGCCGAAATTGCCATTGATAAGCAGCGGAAGGCTCAGCAGCAGGTATATTTCTGTCAGTCTGAAAAGAGGTTAAGGAAAAATTTTCCTTTGCAGCTGGAGCAGCTTACAACCGAGTTGTCAATGGAGCGCTCAGTTGCGCAAAAATCTGAGGCTGAACGTCAAGGTTTGGAACGTCAAAATCGTGAGCTCAAAGCAAAGGTACTTACAGCATAATAATATTTCTGAAATAGTTTATTGATGTTTTTGTTTTTCTACTCCTACGTGCCTAGCATTTGATGTTTTTCAGATAGCCGAACTTGAGAGCACAGCCCAGTCAAGAGCCCGAGCGCAGATAGCAGCCTTGGAAGCCAAAATACAGTATCTTGAAGAGCAGAATAGCGTGGAAAGCCAAGAACGTCATAATGCTACTAGGCAATTTAGGTTTGTTATCATGGTTTGCTCTCATCATTGTTTCCTTGTGGTAATTGTTTGTTTAGACGGATCGAGAAACGTCTTCATGACACAATTCTACAGCTTGAAGATGAGAGGCGAAATGTTGAGCAGCAGAAAGAAATCGTGAGTTGCCAAATACTTGAAATTAACTGAGTTTACTCTACCGTATTGCTCTGTATAAACAAACATGATCCTTTAGGCTGAGAAATGCAATCTACGAGCGAAGCAGATGCGCCGCCAGCTAGATGAGCAAGAAGAGGAGATGACAAGGGAACGCGCCAAGTCTAGAAATCTCCAAAGAGAAATCGACGACCTTACAGAAGCCAATGACACGCTTACTCGGGAGAATAACAACTTGCGGTACAGACTGCTTACTTTCATATATGAAATTGATATTTTTCATTGGCACCAGTGTTGCAGAGGTGGAGCTGCGCGTCGAAATCGCGAAAATATGCGACTGCGATCGGCATACCAAATTCCTGGATCTAGCGACAATTTGACTAGAAACGACGATGAAGATGGTAGCATAGGAACTGAAGGTGAATCGGTTTCCTCAGCATTTGCCCGTATTTTACACTGTTGGCTATGGCTCTTCTATCTTCCTGTATAAGAACCGTACTTCAATGCTTTCAGTTACCGGTTCCGATCATACGGATGAGCTCAAGAAGACGAGCGTCTAACGCAATGCGAAGAGACGTTGTTTTCCCATCGTATGCAGGTTCTTATATACGATTCAGCTGCCTTCTTTATTTGCAACTCTCACTTACTAGCTGGGTACTTTAACTTAATCAACGCTCCATGTATAGTCTGATTCCACTTGGTGCCGCAGTGCTCGACTGCACGAGAAAGTGTATGGTCCAGCGCCACCTCGTGTCGTTCGTTTGTTGTCGCTTAGACATCGTTGTCTCTCTATTCTGCAACATCACGTATATAGAGTAGCAGAATCCGGTGTCTGCCGCCCTTCGCAATGTGTCAGTTCGGTCCTCCTTTCTGCTTGCACTTATCTTATAGTTTTAGCTTATAATATATTTTGCTATTTGTTTGTTAGATTGAAATCTTGTTGCTCGCCCGCTGTTCTCGCTCGCCCACCGCGCCCGCCTTTTAACGATAAATCCTGCCCCGATACCCCTTCACAACCATAGAAATAGTTTTAACGGTTTTACGCTACGTTTGTCACATAATGCATGCCATTCCCCGGCCGCCCCCTCGTCCTGTTCCAGCGCATGATGTGCGACTCACACTTGTCATAAAATTCGGTCAAAGTTTATATGTTGTGAAGCGACAAAGCGTCACTCACTAATTGCACATTCCTTTTTTACATGCAACGTTAAAGGCGCTTTATGTATCCTTACTTGTTCACTTACGAAGATATTGTGCTGATTCACGCTAAAGATTAATAAATATTTCAATTGAGTGGACGAGTTTGTTTCCAGTGTCTCTGAAAAGCACTAGCAATGAGAGAAAATGAATTCGATCGTATACAAATTGAATCAATAAGGACGAGGAGAGAGCACAGGAACATATCAAGAGTTTAGGTTAATAGATGTTGACCGGGTGCTGCGTTGTTCGACGAGGACGTACGCCCATAAAGATGAAGTTAATTTCGCACAGTCTGTAAACGTTTTCTTCTGGGATTAGCAATAATTTGTAAAGTGCGAGAGCGGCTTAGTGTCAACATTCATGTCGTACATAGAGTTCTACTAGTTGGCAAACCCGGCTTCGCCTGGTCCTGTCAATAATATATTTGTAATCAGCATGCTCGATTACCCCGCTGTGCCCAACTCCCAGCCCCGTAGCTCAAATTTTGCAAAAAATCGATATCGATCGATAACGAAAAGTAGCCTATGAACGCTCCCCGCCCCGAAGTATATGTGTGCCAAGTTCGGTCCAAATCGGTTCAGAAATAATTTCTATTACGCACATACGTACATACAGACATACAGACATACATACATACATCAGCTTTATTTATAAGATTATGATTACTATAGATCATCAATCGCCGCAGTATGATGTATACTGTATCCAGTGGATCATCGTTGTTGTCAAAGTTTTGTTTGAAGCGGAAATCAAAATGAGAAGCAATCCATAACACAAATCAAACTCAATCTGATATCAAGCAGATTGGCTAAGGAATAGTGCGAGTGAGTCTGATGCAACTAGTTTGATCTTGCTGGTTAGTCAAATGGGATCGATACGATGTGATTGTGCATCGAGGCAACTGCCGCCACACTTTCTTCCATCAATATCATCTGTAACCCCGAGTTCAGGTGATGTCAATTTTTCCTTTTCAGTCCGTTGATTTCTCTCAATCCTTGTCTTACCCACTAAGATGCTAATAAAAATTTTTCTCTATGCTTCTTATCTTGCACACTTTCTCATCGTTGTGTTACCCTTCCCTAATCTTGCGCACTTTTCTCACTATTTTATGAGTTCTCTTATTATGTAATAAAGCCATAGAGCCAAGACTGTCTTGATTCTATCGCGTTTAGCAGTTACTTGTCCTTCGCATACTTCAATGCTTTCCAAACAATATCTCTCAGACTATTTGGCAATTTTGACCACAGGTGCTTTCTTTTTCAAGACGTTTCTGCGGAACTTCCCGCAATTTTTTGCGGTCCCGCTAACTCCTCCCAAAGTTCCCAATCGGGAAGGTCGAATCTTTTGCCTCTAGCTATGATGCCCTTGAGCATTTTGTCCCCCGGAATTTTCATTGTCAAATTCTCAACGTTTTTTTTTCTTGCCCTCCCTCACAATCTCACCACTAGTTACTCAATAACTTTGGTTTGACTCATTGTTGCTAGAATATGTGCACACATCAAAGATTCATTGTCAGACTCCTTCAAACTGTCTTCCGCAGCGCAGATCCTCACTTCCTAGACTGTACATTTCTAAAATTTTCATTACTAGGTTGAGGCCATCCGTTCAACTTGGAGGGTTAATTTGCGAAACAGGAGTCTATGCAACTCAACTTACGCAGCTTACGGGTGTTACTAATTCTTTACCTTATTAATGCAGCTTTTCCTGGAAAAGAATAGAATCTTGTAAAAAATCGGTAAGATAACCGAGCATGTCGATTACGATACAATATCAGTTCTTGAAGTTATCCATTAGTTTTGTCGATTACCGGCGATTGAGGGGATCATCTAATGCCATGATGAGCTTGATCAACCTTATAACGTACTAGATGGCTTACCCGGCTCCGCCCGGCCCTGTCAATAATATATTTGTAATCAGCATGCTCGATTACCCCCCTGTGCCAACTCCCAGCCCTGTAGCTCAAATTTTGCGAAAAATCGATAAAATCGATATCGATCGATGACGAAAGTAGCCTATGACACCCGCCGGGGCCCGAAGTGTATGTGTGCCAAGTTTGGTCCGGATCGGTTCAGAAATGGAATTTTCTATTCGGAACATACGTACACACAGACAGACAGACATACATACAGACAAACAGACATTCAGCTTTATATATAAGACTAGCGACCCTACGGGTCGCTAGCAAGTGGGTTGGGGCAGATACGTTGATATATACGTTCGGGAGCCATTGTAAATAGGTTTGAACTCATTTCATTTCCTGAATGACTCGCGAGTTATAAATAATTTCAGTTTGACTAATAAATAAGTTCGGTTACTTGCAAATTCGAACTTCTTTGACAATTCAGAAGCAGCTATTCCGTTAAGGTTTATTGCGAAGAGGTAGCTTCAGCCTTCTACTCTTCTTCTACTCTTACTTATCATTTAGTCAAAAAATTTTATCATCCAAAAATGACAGTTATGCCCTGATATGGTCCGACCTTTATAAAATAGCTTTTTTGAATTTTCAAGTTTGGTTCTTAGCCAATAGTGAGTGCACGGATGAATTATATGGCGGTTAAATATATAAATCCTTTGGCTACATGGCGAACTACAATGGAGATTGTGATCTGCTCTGCAGCCGAAAATGGGAGAATTGTCAGGCATTTGCGCGTGGAAGCATTCAAGATCGTTTGGATCTGACCATCTATGGTCGTAGGAGTTGCTAGAAATTTCAGAATTTGGTGTGTGAATGGCAGTTGTGCATTTTACACTCAACTTCGACTCGTTTTCGGAGCGTTACTTTCCGAACATCAGATGAAAAATTGTGACTATCTCACTTTCCTCACAATTTCATTGTCAAAATATTAGGTGGCGCTCAAATAGAGTGGACCATCCAACTCCCCTTGATTTGCGCTTTCCAGCGGTACCATACACTGTCAGATAAATCAAGTTGTAACTCTGCTACAAACGTTAAAACGACCAAACTTACTTTTTAGCCAAACTGATAGTACAAACAAGATATTGCTAACAATAAGATATTACGCTCTGAAAGAGCAAGCTTTCAATAGTGGATCATCTACATTCCTTTCACTACCATTCCCGCAGAAATCCTATTCCAACAACCTCCCACTTCCCAGATTTAACTGGAAATCCGCAAAGATATCATCTCTGTTAAAAGACTGCTGCTTTAGATCAAAGCCCAAATTGATTTTATGGACATTGCTATACCTTGAAAAGCGTTAAGCTTGTCCTTTGAAAGAGAAGACCAAAACTACAGATACAGTGATATTCCCCCAGCGGGACCACGTACGCCCTAATCTTTTCTCCTTTGAGGACAAAAATAGAGAATTCTTAGAGTGTAATATCTCAAAAGCACCTTTCCGCAAAGTTTTACAAGGCTAGGAACTGTTAAGAAAAAGTGTTCTGTCGCATAAAGTCCCTAGTCTTTTCGTGGAGCGAGACCTCTATGGTCTTTCCTCCAGCGAGACCAAGCCTTGTAGGCTCTCTTTTTTGGAGGCAAAGGTAAAACGTTCTTAAAGCAGAAAATCTCAAAAGTATCTCTGTATCGCTCCGCAAACTTTTTTAGGCAAATGCTATAAAAGTTTCCCGTCGAGCTAATTTCCTGGTATTTTCTGCCAAGTTGACCAAGTTTGCCTGGCTCTTTTCCTTTTTGGAGACAAAGCAGGACGTTGTAGGATTAGAGAATGTCAAAAGTATCTTTTAACGAAGTTTTTCAAAATTTATCTCTCATGCGTAGATTCTTAGAAAAAATGTCGCATAAAGTCCTTGGTCTTTCTGCCATCGAGACCAAGTTCGCCCTGCTCTTTTCTCTTTGGAGGCAGAAGTAGGATGTTTTTAGAGTGGAAGAACTCCAAAACTCTCGCCAAATTTTTATAAATTCAAATGCGGAACACAGACTGTTTTAAAAAGTGTCCACCTGTTCCCGGTATTTTCTGCCAGCAAAATCAAGTTTGTCCCAGTTTTTCTCTTGCAGGCAAAAGCAGGATGTTTTTTAGAGTAGAAAATATCAAGAATATCATTCAGTGAAGTTTTTTTATTTATCTGTGAAGCGTAGGAGTTCTTAGAAAAAGTGTCCTGTCGCATAAAGTCCCTGATCAATTCTGCTAGCAAGGCCCTGCTTTCTTCTTTCGGAGGCGGCAAAAGTAGGAAGTTCTTAAAGTATCAAACCTCAAAATTATCTTTCGGCAAAGTCTCTTGAGCCCAAGATTACTTTGAGAAAAATTGTCCTGTTAAATAAATTTTCAGCTCTTCTCTGCCAGTAACAAATTCGCCCTTATTTTCTCTTTTAAAGGCAAAGCAGGTAGTTTCTAAAATAGTAAACCTTGAAAGCATCTTTCGGCAAAGTCTTTTCAAAATCCATCTGTGAAGCTTAGGAGCTCCTAGAAAAAGTATCTTTAAATTCCCAGATCTGCCAGCGAGACCAAGTTTGCCATATTCTTTTCCTTTTAAAGTCAAAAGTAGGATGTTCTTAGAGTATATTGAGGCTAAGAATTGTTTTTAAAAAGTGTGTGTTGCACAAATTGCCTGGTCTTCTCTGCCAGTAAGACCAAATTTGCCATGCTCTTTTCTCTTTCAAAAGCAAAAGCAGGTTTCTTCTGGGAAGGCAACCTCAAAAGCATCTTTCGGCAATGTTTTTTTTGATATTTATCTGTGAAGCTCAAGAACTCAAAAGTGTCTTCACGCAAAAATTTCTTGATTTGCCAGCGAGACCAGTTTGGCCCTGCTCTTTGTATCTTTCGGCCCAGTTTTAAAACCTGAAATTCCAAAAGCCCCTCAGCGTTTTCTTTCCACAACAGCAGATTCGCTCATTGCTTGCGTACAAAGCACATTTAGTAAAATCTATCTCCCCTCAAAACATGACCGAAGGTTCAGACCGCCGCTAGGAAAGTTCAGGAATACTCAAAAAAATGAGCTATTTTGGAATTTTTCTGCCCATTCAGCAAAAAAGGGACAAAACCTTTGAAAACGAAACTCCACTCCACAAATGTCATTTTCTGTCGGCAACAGTACGGCAGTGTTCTCGAAGAATCAGAGGTTGTCCGACAAGATCGTGAACAGCAGAAGAAGCATTTCGAAACCACCGCATGCGAATTGAAGAACACGATCGAGGCTCTCAAAGTCAAGGTATTAGTTTTTCTTTCTGTTTACGCCGCGACAAATTACGACTTAGTTTAGGTGCGGGAACCTGAAGAAAAGAACGCGAAGTCGGCGCGTGAGGTTGAACGAGACCTGCTCGATCAAATCGTCCGAGTGAATGAAGAGGTAAGTTTTATACAGTTTATGACTTACATTGATACTTAGTTTCCAGAAAGAACAGCTCAGTAGTCAGATATCGCTTTTGAAAACGGATTTATCAAAGGAGAGAAGTGCAAGAACACAAATGGAGAAAGACATGATTGCGAGTCGCGTGGAGATGGAATTACAGAATTCCAAGCTCGAGGAGATGAGCGAATGTGTTGGTGTATTACACTGCACGTTAATCTGAGAAATTAACTGTCACACTTTAGCTGAGTACTGTTCAATCAGCTAATTCGGAGCAGTCAGAATCATTGATTCGCTTAGAACAAGAGCTCGAAGCCAAAAAAGAAGAAAACGTAAGTCAAGGAGTTAATGCAACTATATTTGGGCTCATATTCTTATCGAATCTGCTCTGTGCACTCCTGGCTGGATTGGAGCTGGTTTCTCCAGCTCAATGAAAAAAAAAGTAAAAGGAAAGGCGGCAGCAGGAACCAATGAAACAGAACATGCGTTACTCTTGTAATCAGTATGTATTCAGTATTGTTTTTGTATCTTTATATTCTTTTGTTGCACTTGTAATGCATTGCCCAATTTGAATGAATTTTTTCTTTTCGAAGTTTTTGTGCTTGCTAAGATGGTCGTGTGCCATTGCCAATTTACCTAAAAGCGTTTTTTTTTGTTGCATGATTTGCGTCTAACATACTGATGTGAAACTCATTTTATACATGCTTCGCACTTCACCATCAGTATCTTTTCTTATCCTACTCCGTTCACGAAGTAACATAGCCAATTAATTGTGCACTTTTGACCCTTGTTTTCTTTTTTATAAACATCCTTTAGATGAGCAACTATCATTGCAGCAGTTCTTTTATTCAAGAGTCTGGTTGCTTACTTATTTCCAGTTACAATGTAATATTGCAAACCAAGAATTTGCAGTGCTGTATGTGGTTGTGAAACCACGCTTTCTCATGAAGTCACAGAATTGGGAGGTGGTGCAGGAGGAACCAAAGCCCTTGCCGCCTGCATCCAAAGGGGAATGGGTAAGGCAGAGGAGGCTCCGCCCATCGCTCCGCCCACGAGATGCTCCCATTGTGTGTTGAGCAAGAATGGTGGATGGACTACCAGATATTGATCAAATCTGATGGATTAAGAAGTTAAACTATGAATTGGAACTTGAAAAATGGACAGTAAATATTCTCAAACATTTTCAGGTACCGGATAATAATAAAAATAGTACCATGTCATAAACCTAATATATAAATAGAGTAACCATTTTTTTAAGAGTCAATATATGGAACACCACTACCATTAAATTGTTTTTAAATTTTGTTCAGAATCGAAACGATGATACAAAGCCTAGAAAATGACCAGAAAGAAGATTGATTCAAAGCAGGGGGACATAAGCCGAAAATGAAGTTTCAGAGTGGTTCTAATAATAACTTTAACAAAGAGACTAAGAAATCTTCTGGATACTCAGATCCAAGAATGACGTAAAATGCAAATGCAAACATCTTATGCCTTGAGAGGAGGCACAGTAAAGCTTCACAACTCAGATTTGAAGTGCGAACCAAACCTGGACAATTTTACCCCGCTGGCAGTTGTCGAGGCATAGGATTAGGGAAGTAGGACAATATCAAATGGGGCGAAACCAATGTAAACTACTATAACTGTTATAACAGACAAGTTTTGGTGACTTTATCTGCTTTTTTTCAACTTTTTGCCCGAATCTAATTTTGCAACTCGAAAATTTTTGATGAATAATTTGTCATCTACTTTCGCAAGTTCACCTCTTGAAGCATGACTTTTCAACGGCTTTCTCGCGAATTTTTCTCACCCTTTCCCTCCCCTTTCCCCCTCCCCAAGTAAAATACTTTGGAGTTAACAAAGAATAAAGTACTTGAATTATGACTTTCTTGGCTCATCAGACGACTGGCTTGATCCTGCAAAGGTCAAATAATCGGCTATCGATTGGCTCAAATGCAACTAACGCAGTGACTATCGTAAAAGATTGAGAAAATTAGCTCAGGAAAATAGATTGCAATATAGAGTAAGTTTTCCGCGAAGCCATTTATAGGAGTTCAGAAAAATTTCCGAAGCTTTTACCCCTCTAAAAAATTTTTCATCAATTCCAATCTTTAAAGGAATGATGAATTGCATTGATGTGAATTCATACAAAAGTTCATTCAAAAGATTCGCCTTTCAAAACTAGCCACAAATTTGTTTTCCCCTCCTCTGTATCTTCACTCCAAGTCTTTTAAATTAGACTTTTCCTTCCGCGAATTCCTGAGCAAAAAAGGCAAAACCCAGGCTCAGCGCGCGGGGCGGAGCTTGGAGGGTTGCCAGATCCTTCTTGGCATGCAGCTAGCTCCTCCCCTTTTTCTCTTGGATACAGAGGTCAAGAGCTCTGGTCCCTCCTGCACCGCCGCCACAGAATTGTATGCAAGAAGTTCTTCTTCACTCTTTTTCAGACTGAAAATTTAATGTGGCGACAATTCGCTCTTGACAGCTCTTCGAAGTTAGTATGTTTGGAATGGTATTGGTGTTGCTTTATTGGATAAGAGTGTTGGTGATAACGACAGTTTAAAGTCAGGGTGCCTTCATAACGCGCCAGCACCCGTTAGCCACCGACAGACGCTTTGACGTCATCCCACATGAGGTGATCCAAGATGTGATATCTTTTCGCAAAATCGTCGTCTAAAGGGGTTGTTTGGCATGCTGATGGCGAAAATTATCCGATGGAGCTGACGTAGGATTACTGTAAGAGGTCAAAGTCACGAACTTGCCTGAAACATCGTCTAGTGGAGGGGTAATCAGCACGCTGAGCATGAATAATATTAGGATCCAAAAGTAACGGGGCACTCAGGGGACTGTTCACCAAGACGATAGCCTCGTCTCCCAAAGCTTTAGAACAGAAGATTTAGCATTGGGTATTAGGAAACATATTTATTCTGTTCAAGGTGATTAGAGGAACCACCTTGACGGCTGTCATCCGGTAGAGCTTTTTACGCTCTATCCATATATATATTTTACCTCAATTTTTTTCAAAAAATGATGGGCCAAAACATGATCTTTGTCCTGAAAATCTGAGGCAAACATCGCACTTTTCCGAATAAACTTACTTTTCTATATGAATTAATGGAGGAATTTTGTAATTCACGAGATCATTAGAAAGAACCTGGAAAGCTCTTTCGATTATGTCATATGTGTAGGGAGTTTAGAAGTGGCACAAATTCGGATGGCACTCAAAGCTCTGTCTGACTTCTTCGAAGAGCTTGAAGGATTATAGGTGAGGTGCTACGAAATGCTTCAGGATTCTGCGGAGGACACGTTATACAAGGGCGTTCAAATCGCTGGTTGTTCATAGTTAATCAGAAAGAGACCTTAGAAAGTTCAAAAATATAAGGTGCCCCATTACTCTTGTATCTAGTAGTAATCTCGCATGGTAGCGTCATTTTCTCACATTACGGCGGTATCTGGTCCATGGTTCAAAATTGTCTGCTCAACACTTTGCTTAAAAGGATTGTTTAGCTATGATTACGAATATCACAGTTTTTTTTTCACTTTTTGCGTTTTGGAACCTTTTCGCAGAATCGTTACTTTGCAAATTTTTGAAAAATATGCCTGAAAAGTGCGTGCAAGGTATGCTTACTACTGTACTTACAACACGCATTAGGTTTCGAGAAATAGCAGTTCTAGTCTGAAAATGTCCGAGAACACTTTCTTACCAACCCAATAGTTATTATTCTCTCCACAGTCAGCTACCTGCGTTTGTCTCAAACGAAAGTCATTCCTTTCTATCTTGCTCTGATATAGAAGTCATCTTCGCCGGTTACCTACACCGTTCTCAGCATGCGTTTCTATTGGAAGTAGTAACTTTTCCTTTCTCACCTGCAGTCTTTGACACATTAACACCACCGGTGGGTCTGCCTTTTCAGACAATACGACCCACCGGGGGGGGGGGTAAGATTCCTGAAGCTTTAGCTTTGCCGGTGTGCAATGGAATTTTACGGGGTTCTAGCACATGACTGGGGACACCTAGGCGAAGCTTCAGCCAGAGCGGTCCAGGTTCGGGATACTGTAAGATAGCACAGACTTTAGATAAAACTTTTCGCAAAGTGGTGCTGTTTTTGAAAGTTCAAGTTTACATGCACGAGAAAGAAGTTATCTACTTTATGGATTTTATTGATTTGCATTGTTCATCCCAGTAAGCTCAAACATTAAATATAGATTTTTTAGCGTGCTGATTACGAAAATGATAGTCTCAAGTTCTAATACCGCCTTCTTACATCAGTTTCTTGATTCTTACGAAAATTCTACTGTACTACTACCGTAGGTCCCACTGTGGGAAAGTGGTGAACAAAGTGGACACTATAATAATGATCAGCACGTGAAATAACCCCAAAACACAATTTTTCATGAAAATCTGTGATTTTGGGTTCGTACAGAATGACTACCGTAACCTTACCGTATACTGCCAAAAACTGAACTAAATCATATTTTGTCACGCCTTCGATAACCCTTTTGGGAAAGTTCTCGGAGACGTTTGAATTTCTTCCAAAAAGACTACCATTTCGGACAATACGACCCACGGGTGGGTTGTAAGTTTGACAAAGCGAAGAAGGCTCTGGTTCGAAACGGCAGTAATCGAAAAATCGGCCTTGTCGTGAGTATGTTAACTTGTATTAGTTGCGAATCAGTTGTATGTGTATACGTACAATGCTTCGGAAAAAAGTTTGACTTTTAGTTTAGATTTGTACCGTCAACCTTTTTTTTTCTATTTATCTGAGCCGGATTAAATTAGCCACGGACCACTTTTATTTGCGCAAGCCTAAAGCAACAAGACCATCCGATATTCGCCGATAGTATAGCTTGAGATCTTATTTTACCTTATTCTATCTTATTTTCCTAATTTGAGATTGCCCAGGAAATCACAAAAAAGTGAAAACCTCAGCTTGGTAATGTATGGTTATGTAAGCTATGGTACTCTTCCTGCTGACCATTATACTTGGGTATCAAGGTATGCTCTGAAACAAAGATAGAAAAAGAAGAGAAAGGAAGATCCCCAAAAATCCAAGAAAAATTTGGAAGTCTGTTTAGTAAAATCCTCTAAAAATTCTAATCGCCCACATTTTGTAAAAGATATTTCTCTATGCAGTTGCCGTGTTTTTCTCTCAGCTAGAAATTGAGAAAACGAAGCTTTTCATGTTTTTTCTAGAGCAATGTTGAGATGTTCTACCACTGATAGTTGTATATTACAGCATTTTGGAAACATGAATGTGAATTTTCAGCTTTTTGCAGCAACTGGTTTACAAGAAAAATCAAATTTTTGGCGGCTACGAAAAAAAAATGGTAATTGGTAAGGAAAGCTAAATTCGATATTTCTCGTGAACTAGCACCTCTAGAAGGCTGAAAATGCAAGGGATTTACTGCTAAATACACGTAGTATACTACAGTTTGT